ACAAACCAATATATAAATATCACCAAGTTCAAAACAGCGGGGGCAGTTTTAGTGTCAACTATTACTAGTAGGTAGCAGCCGACCAGTTCGCACGTTTCAGCACCATCAAAAGAACCCATGGTGACATCGAAAAGATCATTTGAAGATTTTTTCTCCCATGAGGAATCGTTGCTGTACAACAGCGAGCGTTTTGCGTGTAAGATGATGTCGCGCTCATCTCTGCTGATGGGTCGGTACTTGCTGGCGAAGTCGAGGGCCGTTGAGAGCAACTTTTCATTTATTGAAGGATAAAATTCACATACGTGGAAACATATGAACGAGAGTTTCTCTTTGTTCTCTAAGCTGTTAAACCATTGTAAGACGCTGGCCGTGTTCTTCCACTGGTTGATTTGCGTGCCGCTGATGATGGCGGAGTTAACTTCATCAAGGATGTGCTTCCTAACTACACCAATTTCAGACTTGGAAGGGTTGATAAGGCGGCACGTGGGGTGGTCGTTGCATGCTGGTTTGTGATCTTTCAAGATGATAAATGCCTCATTCTTTGCTAGCTTTTCAATTCGGTCGTCTAATTTGAGCTGTTTAGCTATGCTGGCTGACTACGTGTCCAATTTTTTTTGCAACAATATCGCTTGATTTCTTGTAGGTTTTCCTTACATTTTCTTTAATCAACTTGTCGTATTAGGCAGGGGTCATTGTATAATAATTGGTTGTTTTGTTTGCTGGGATTAAGAGTCTATCTGGTTTCTTGATTTTTCTCTTGATGCAGCTGCTCATTTGATTTTGGAAATTACATTTTAATTACATTATAATAATATGTGTATATTTATATATATAATCGTATTCTATAGTGTACGTAGACTCGGTCCAAATCACGTTTGTTGTACGTTTTGATGTTTCAGACAACAGCTGATAAAGCTAGTGCCTGTACTCACTAGAATTTTAAAAAAATCGCCATNTTTTGCGTGTAAGATGATGTCGCGCTCATCTCTGCTGATATGTCGGTACTTGCTGGCGAAGTCAAGGGCCTTTGATAGCAGCTTTTCATTGATTGAAGGATAAAATTCACATACGTCGAAACATATGAACGAGAGTTTCTCTTTATTCTCAAGGCTGTTAAACCATTGTAAGACGCTGGCCGTGTTCTTCCACTGGTTGATTTGTGTGCTGCTGATGATGGCGGAATTAACTTCATCAAGGATGTGCTTGCTAACTACACCAATTCCAAAACATCGGTCTCTATCGCGACGATGGTCTAGCGGCCTTTAACAAAACGCCACAAGAAATTGAAAAGATCAAAAAAGAACTGTGCAAGATTTTCCGTGAAAATGACTTAAAGATAACGATAGAAGCAAACAAAACCATCGTAAATTTCCTAGACGTCACGCTTGACCTGCAGAGC